TCGTCGATGTTAAGCCTGACGAAGACTATTGTATCGTTAAAAATTAGTTTTTTATTTTGTACAAATAAAATAAATATATTGAAAAATATAAAAACAATAAAAAATTATACTTCAGAAGTTAATTTAGTATCAAAAACGTAAAATATTTGAGTAGCCCAAGACATAACCAAAGATTGCAGCCTCACAGCACTGGCAAAAATTTAAATTTGCCGACTTGAATTCTTTCGGATAATTGACTTTCGGATAATCGACGCTCTACTGTATTTTATTATTATCGTAAATGTACAAAAATGCTTTGTTGAAATGAAAAACAGATATTGAAATGAAAAAGTCACTTCTTGATGTTTAAAACTCTCTCAACATTAAAATTTTTGATGTCACGTAATTTAGTTTAATTGAAAAATTTTCAATAATTTTAACATTAATGTCAATACACACAAGAGCTAGTGAATTATAAATAAGTGCCTTTTTATCGAGTTTTAGATGAAATGTCTATAATTATAACGTCTGTCCGCTCTCAAAACTCTTACAAAGTTTAGGCTAATTGATCAACATTTCCAATAGATTGACGTCATTCAGCCGACCAATCAGCGCGTTGTGTCATCTGGATATTTAGTCGCACGTGAAAGAAGGAGTAGGTATTTGGTAGTCAACAGTCAACTAGACTTTTTTAAATATTTTATTTGGCGAATTACATAAAATAAATTTTATTCTTTTTTAAAAATGCTGAATACATTTTAAAATTTTAAATAAAAAAGTTTTTAAACAGTTAATTAATATTGTAAAATTAATATATTTTTATTTAAAGATCTATGCAGCAAAAAGCATTTACAACACAAAATGCTAGCACAAAAAAAACATTAATTTATTATTATTATAATTGAAATTCAGTTATGTACTTCTATCCATGATGAACTTCATATTTTCGTGATGCAATTTAACTTTAGCATATGTTTTAGTCACAGCCACAATGAGTTTGTATAGATGATTATCCAAAATGCTCAGGCATGATCTTTTACACTTTCAAATATATTTACATCGGTATAGTGCATAACCACTGATTGAACAATACTTTTCAAAACATTTTTTCCAGTTTTCATTGCTCAACGTTAAATAACGAATCTCCTTTTCTATTTGTTTACAAATATCAATAACATCACTGTTAGCATGTATTAAAGCTCCATTATCTTTTAGTTGCACTAAAGGCCTCAATGCAGTATTTGCAGGAATAAACAAGGCATTTTCGCAGTGTATACAAGAAATACCCTTTAAAAGACTCTTGACCCCAAATCCAGCCATATATTCAACAGCCTTCATTGAGAATTCTGTTAAATGCACTTCTGTTGAACTTACATGGTATCTATGATCTTGAAGTGCTGTATCTACTGCTATGGTATCTTCAAGAGGCTTTTCCATTTCCCATGTTTTGAAATCATGTCCAAGAACTATCTTGTTGGTGTGAAAATGTTGATGTGATCCAGAACTTGTTGATGCCACACTGAGAATTGTTGTTGTATGAGGAGTTGCATTTGTCTTTTCACTCGTTTTATATTGCATTTGGGTAAGCAAACGCTTGTATGCTTCAGTGAACTGGATTTTTGTGGGATTGTTGTTCTAGCCACCTTTTGCCCTGATCATACCAAAAAGCAATTTAATATGATCTTGTGACAACTTGTATGTGAGGAGATAACTGGAAAAAAAAATAATAAACATGCAGATCAAAAATTATAAATGTAATAATAAATGAAACACAATGAATATCTGCTTCATACTTCAACAAAGGTAAAGGTGATGCTATTAGCTCTTCAAATATAGCTTGTACAGCCTTGATTAGGCAAATAAAACCTGTCAATGATGTATGTCGTGCTGACTTCATGATGAGCTGTCAATTCTCAAATGCGAGCTCCTGGAGTCCATCTTTCATTTTGGTCAGAAAGGGCCACCACAAATGCTGATTTGAAACTCGCAAAGGCGCCTTAAAGTTCCAAGCAAATGGATTTTTACTATTAAGGATATCGAAGAGCCTGAAACAAAATCTTAAATTAAAAACTTTTTATACAAAACAAATTTTTACATCAACAAGCAAATTTAAATACCTGTCTATATCACGAACAAACTCGATAGTCGCTTCACATCCTGCAAACTGTGGCAACTGCAACTCTAAGCAAGTTTGCAGAGCATCTGCTACAGAAGCACTAAATATTTGAGTTGCAAGATAAACTTTCATTTTCATTTGTTGGAAGTTAATGTGGGCCTTTGTAAAAGCTTGTTTTCCAAGCACAAACTCTCAGAACTTTGCAGCTGCTGAAGAGCCTCAATATACTCCCATTTGACAACCTAAAAAATGCAATGATGTTAAATGTAGCTTTTACATTTATTTATCAGTGCAACAAACAAACAGTGCAGAATACCTTGCCAGAAGCTAAAACCAACACCTTTTTTTTCTGCAAGCATATTTCTTAAAAGTTTAATCATATGACATGCATCAGGAAATACTTTTATCAAAGTGCTGTCTGTGGTGTGAGGAAACCAATGTTCTATAATATGACCAAGTGAAATTATTGCACCCAGAGCTCTAGCAGTGGAAAAAATTTGTGCTTGTACCATCAAAAGTAATTCCCACTACCTTTACATTGACATCATATAATCGTTGTAGGTGTTACCGCTTTACCTATTACCTAGATCAGCGTTTCTCAAAGTGGGCGATAATGCCCCCTTGTGGGCGCTGGAGGCTTTCAGGGGGGCAGTAGAAGGCTCAAAGAGAATTGGGGGGCGTTAAGGAAATATAGAGGGGCGACGACAGACAAATTCTATATATAAAAATTCGACGGAATATATATAAAATGTTGACATTTTATATATTTTTTATTTTTTATTGAAGGTCACAACTTGAATATTTCTAACACATTGACTTTTATTTTAGCTCAGCGTTTCTCAAAGTAAGCAATAACGCCCCCTTCTGGCGCGATGAATAGATCTATGATAGAGGCAGGGTATTGAA